AAGAGCATGCACGGCCTCAGCAACTGTGATGCTGTCCTCCAGAGATTCCACCTTATCGAAAGTGGATTCTTGGAATACCCTGTCGTTCAACAAGGTGTTGACGGTAAGAAGCTTTTTGGGTTTCTCGTTGTTCTCGTCAGTGTAGAGAATCCAAGCATCAGGCGCGAGACCAGTCTGGTAAATCGCGGTATAGTTGGCACCGGTGTTGGGATCGACTCCTTGAGGGCCGTATAGTATCCACTTATTCATAGAAGCATCGTCGGACTCTTGGGAGACCCAACCGTCATCGGCCAGAGTTTTCTCGAAGGCGGCACTTTGCTCGAGGGCGGCATCAGCGGGCGCTTCCACAGATACAACAAACGACTGGTGATTGTACAGTTTTTCAACCCCCTTGTAGTTGGGGGAGTCGATTGACATGACAAAAGTATACGGAATAGCAGGAGATGCTCGCACCGACACTTGGCCGTCCCTGGCGATGATCACATCCTCCTTGGTCGTTTGGAAACCATCTTCCATACCAGGCAAGGTGAGGCCGAACGTATCTCCGCTTTTCGAGGTACCACACGGCGCTGGGTTGCCATAGGCATCAACCAGCCCAAGGTTGCAGTACTTTTTGGTAGTAACGTGCATACGCACATTCCCCGCACCCAAGACGTAGTGAACGCCTATGAAGGGGAACAGCAAGCAGAAGATTTTCGAGCACATGGCGATAGAAAAGGTAAGAGGGACGAATAAACTGACATGTTACGATCTATGAGCGAGTTCTACGATCTAAGATGGACCCCAGTCGGTTATAGGTGGTCCGCAGAGGAGAGGTACAAGGTTGACAACTATCTTCCGCACCTTTCAGCATGCCGCACGCATGCACAACTACAAACTTCACGTGGAAGAGTGTGAGATCCCCGCGTCACCTCATTTGACTGACTTCTGAGCCTCGAATCCGGCTAAGAAGAGCTGGGGAGATCCCAATGAGCAAATGTGGTCTGTAGAAGCTTCCTGATGTGCAATGCCGGTCTCGCAATGGGACGGGAGGATCTTGGATTGGACGTCGGAGCGTTCAAGAACGCAAGCGCACTCGTTAACGACTCTTTAACGAATGCGCCTGCGTTACTTAGGACATAGTCTCGTTTTCACGAGTCTACCAGTAACAGTGTGGGAAAACATGCACATGGCCAAT